TGGTGATGTCCTCTCCTTCAAAGATTTCAAATCTAGACCTAGCATACCTATCACACTCTGCGTGGTAGTGCCTTGCTGTTTCTTCTTTTATTTTGCAGAAGCGGCAAAAGGGATCAGGTAGGATACCCATTACGAAGAGGTGTCTTCTCAGTGGGCAGTGGCCCATTAGAATACCTATCAGCCTCCTAATTCCCTTCCTTGAGATAGAGAATAGCATTTCGATTCAGCTGGTTTGATCGCCTTAACAAACTCTTTCGATTGCCTTTGTCCGGGGGATAAATTCCACTCCCTAAGGAATTGTTTCATGCCCCAGTTATTGATACTCTCTTTCGCTGTGCTCATAGAGTGAGGTAATACCGGTTGTGGCCCGACGCACTATTAGAACCTTCTTTAGCTAGGCCATCGCCTTTTCATTGCCATGGTGTCCTTTATGTGCTGGTATCCAAATAAGTGTCACCTTATTCTCAAACCTGAAAGAGATCCTATTGATAAGATCTCTAGTTTCCTCCACCAGTCATGAGGTTGACAAATCTTTTTGTAATGCCCTAAGACTAGCCTGACTGTCAGAAAAGATTTTAATATCTTTTCCCATAATTTTATTTTCCATAAGTGTTCTACAAGACACATTGATGGCCCAGATTTCCGCCTGAAAAACGGAGGTGTTATTGCCAAGAGGGGAGGAGATGCTGATTCCTAATTTTCGTATGTAGATTCCTGCACCACTCCCTCTTCCTTTGATAAGTGAACCATCTGTGTAGCAGTCTATGTTACGATGGTCATCATCCAGACTATAATCATAATCACAAGGGGTGACTACCTGAAAGTGCTTTTTCCCCCGAAGGGGATTTAATCTTTTTATCACTAACACTTAATAATTGACCGTTAACCTTACTCAATAGTTGAGAGATTTTCGAGTGACCTATGTTATTGCACTTATGATTCCAGCTGCCCTCGCTAATTAATCCAAATTCTGGTAAATCCCATCTTACATGTAAATGACACTATTTCAATTAGTAATTTACAATTTCAATAGTTAATCCCTTATAAGAAAAATTGTCAGTGCAAGCAAGCCTATCACATTTTCTAAAAATGACCACCTTAGATTTGGCATTGTTAACAGTCAAATTTCATTTCTCACATTATCTTTCTGATATATTTATACTTCTCTGTAAACTTACTTTCTTGTTAGCTTACAAACAAAACATTGTCTGTTATTATTATTATTATTATTATTTAAATTATTCAGAGATCGTGAGATGCGGTCTGGTGTGACATAGGTTTTAGAAAAACATTTTCTTTATCGTGCCAACGTTTCAATATTTATTGAGATCATCTTCAGGGCTTGGGATTTATAAACATTGTTTAAATTTTACAAATACATGTAGGATGTGGAAACAATTTTAGATTAAAAAGAAAAAAAATGAATTTATACAATGCTAGAACATTTTAGATTCAAAAAAATGAATTTATACTATGCTAGAAAATTTTAGATTAAAAAAAATGAATTTATACAATGCTAAAAAATTTTAGTTTCAATCAAAGCATCTGTACTCGCTCAAAGTGTTTGTTTTCCGTGTAGATGTGTCATTGTTGTGTATCGAGTGCCAGTGAGATATTAATGTTTTGTAAATTAACAACTTTGTAACCTAAAACATCAATATCTCACTGGCACTCTCAACACGATACACAACAATGACATATCTACACGGAAAGCAAACACTTTGAGTGAGTACAGATACTTTGATTGAAACTAAAATTTTCTAGCATTGTATAAATTCACTTTTTTTAAATCTAAAATTTTCTAGCATTGTATAAATTCACTTTTTTTAAATCTAAAATTTTCTAGCATTGTATAAATTCTTTTTTTTAAATCTAAAATTTTGACATTTGAAAATATGGCAAAAAGAGGGAAAATTCAAGCGATTGTAGGTTGAGATGGGGCGTTAGTGCTCGAGAGCCGAAGGTTGTAGGTTCGAATCCCGCTCGTGACACTAATTTTTCATTTCAATTGAAAACCTTACATAAAAGACTAATTAATTGGAATAATTATTATTGCCAATTATGACCACTAAACAAATATGAATTAATTTAACAATTAAAAGTAGTAATAACTTTGCTAATAGCTCCCCACTTCATAAGTCGCTAAGAATCGAATCCTGATTACAAAATATGGCAAAAAGAGGGACAACTTGAATGGCAGTAGGTTGAGATAGGGAGTTGGTGCCCTAGAACCGTAGGTTGTGGGTTTGAATCCTGTTTTTGGTTGAAATGAAAAATTAGTGTCACGAACAGGATTCAAACCCACAACCTACGGTTCTCGGGCACCAACTCCCTATCTCAGCCTACTGCCATTCAAGTTGTCCCTCTTTTTGCCATATTTTCATGTAATCAGGATTCGATTCTTAGCGACTTATGAAGTGGGGAGCTATTAGCAAAGTTATTACTACTTTTAATTGTTAAATTAATTCATATTTGCTTAGTGGTCATAATTGGCAATAATAATTATTCCAATTAATTATTCACAATCTCTGAATAAACATGATTAACGGTCACTAAACACCACACATTTGTATAGAAGAAAGGTCATCGATGAAGGGGGAAAAAGGACGGGACTTAAATGCATCTGCCTAACCACACAATTTGTGGGGAAAAACATCTCAAATTCCCTCCTTGATCCTAACCACAGAAGCAGCTTAAGCCAAATAAACTTCGAAGTTCCAAATCATTACTTTGGATGACACTCCCAGTTGAACAGTTATATCAGCGCATTTCGGTCCACGATGTCAAAAGTAGGCTTAAAATGAATGAAAAACAGTATAGCTTTTGGCGCCTGTGTAAAAATTTTAGATGAATCATACTGCAAAGTGTAAATAGATTATCCAGAGTGGGGTACCTTGTACGGTGGGGCTTCCCAATCTGAGGTCTCCCCCTGAGGGTGAACTTAACACAATAATTACAAACATACAATGTACTAATAAAATTTAAAAAACTTATAATATTGTAGGTTTCACTATTTTATTGACTTTTGTCCATTATAAATACTCGAGATGTTTCAAGGAGGATTTTTAGAAGTTATTAAGTATCACAAATTGAGACTGTCTTACAAATAGGAGCTAAACCTTTTGAGGAGAAAATCGTGTATTCCAAGGATGATTAGTTTTTGAATAAGGAGACAATGATCAATTTCAAATTTAAATATATTGTGTTAATGCATAACTTGGGCAGCTTTGGTCGTGTAGTCTTGAAAAAGATTTGTTGTTGTTGAACGAGGGTGGAAACCATATTGTTCAGGTATTTTCTGGGTTCTCCTTCCTTAGGTGTTCCACATCAGGTTTTAATACTTTATTTTCTTCTTTTAGCCCTTAATACGGCATTTTAGTTCATCTATGTGTTTGTTTATTGTTTCGACAGCTACGGTAAATTTTTTGACCAACTCCTAATTCTCCATCATCAGTCCATTTTAATTTGTTTCAACAAGACCAGGAGATGATCTTTTAGGTGTAAATTTTCTGGCTTTTGGTGTACAGTTGTCTTTATTAACTAGATAAGTCAAAAAAAGAAAAAATCAGAAGACTTGTTGGACTTGAGCAAAATGTAAAACTGAAATAAGTATGTGAACTATTTATCAGAGAATGCAGAGGGAGGGCCACTGAGCAGAATGCGAACTCTCCCACTATAATCCTTGAGTTTCTTTTGCAACTCTAATCTCTGAATTTGGACTCTGTACTTGTGTATATTGTACTAGTTGTTAACTGAGAGTTTTACAGTACTTCACAAGAACTTTCACTATACCTCTGTACAATTGCAGTCTAAACAAGACCGTTTATACAACTTTTTAACAGTGTTAAAACTCATTGTCAGACCCAATGTTAACTCAGTCACTTCATATCACTCTCATATTTGCCATTCTCTTTGGGCTGTTGTTTCTCTTTTAGTAATTTGGCTATTATTGTAGGAAACTGTGATTATTTCTCATGGGTGTTTTTTATTTTTATTTAACAATTGAACCAAAATTAATGTTTCTTATAAGTAGGCGGCTTCCCGGCAGATGGATTGTGATCCATGCCTGTACTATGTAAATAATCATACTGCTACTATATTCATAGAAATAAAAAGAATTAAAAAAAAAAAAGAGTAGGTGTATATATATATATTTCTTCGGCCTTAGCGTGTTGTAGCATGCAGCTAGTATCTAAACAGTTCCCAGTCTTATAATTCCCATTCACGACTGACTATATTACACTAGTCTGTGTAAACCTTAGTACGACCATATATCATCAATAATTTTTAGTTTTCTCACGCCTGACACAATCAAACAATCCCACATTATGATTCCACCTCCTCCATGCTTACCATGCACAAGTTTTTAGCTACAAAGCTTGATATAATTTTCGCCACACCCAAACTTTACTATCAGATGAAAAAAAAAAAAAATCGCTGAACAAAACTCGTTCCCAGAAAGTAATAGGCTTATTAACTTAATCCTTTGCAAATGATAAACGTTTGCCTTTATTGACCTTACTAATCAAAGGCTTTTTTTCTAGCAGATGGAGCTAAATTCTGATTTTTTATTTCACATTGTTTGTGGTGTTGTACCTCATAATTAATTTCTATACCTGCAAGGGAGGAGGAACTAATTTTTGAGGCTTCATAAATGCATTTCAGAATTTCCTGTTCATGGATCCTTTGCAAAATGTTTCCAGTCTTCAAATCTGTTAGGATTTTTTTGAACCATAGAATGTTTAGAAGTTGTTTTGCCAATATCTCTCAGCTATTTTCCTTCCTTTCTTAAATTTACAACCAGTTTTCTTATTTCTAAGGAAATCTCCGTAAAGGGAACAAATATAATACACCCTTCACAGGCTAAGAGATCATCTAATACTGAAGTATTAACCTTATCAATGTCCATTGCAACAATACTTTTTTCCGTTTTTTACAAAATGGTTATATAAGTGGTTTATATTAAGGTATGATTATTACAAAATAAAATAACAGAGTAATTATTTAAATGCTTGTTTATTTAATAAAATAATGTCGTCCGTAATTTATTGATTGTTATATCCGATAAATTTTCTTCTGGAGAGCTTCCAAGCTTCCATCTGAGCATTTGACCTGTAAAGTTGCTGCTTAGTGACTCCATTAGGCGACGAAGTCCACTTTTCCTCTTTGAACCGCATCCAGGTGAATCGCTTAAATCAGAATGAGATATTTAGGTTGGTAAAATCTAACCAATATTGTACGGTCAGAAGATAATTTTTGTCTCACCAGTTTTATGGTCCTCCTAGACTGTCTATCCTTCCTGGTTTGGTCTGTCTGATTTTTTTTAACATTTCCAGTGGTGGTACAAATGCTATTTTGTTATTTTTATTGTAAACTGAATTGCTATTCAGTGTGTTATTCAGTTGAAAATACTATTTAAAATGTTCATTGAAATTAAAAAATTTAAAATTGGTATTTTCATCTAACACTGCCTAGAAATTCAGCCGACAATAAAAATAATGTCTATGGTGGAAAGATTTTTTTTCTAATTCTTTTCTTTAAAAAAATATTACTTTTTATTTTTTATTACATCAATTTTATTTTTTTTAAATACATGACTAATTTAAATCTTTTTAAAATATTCTTTTATACTTTTCTTTTTAAATATTTTTTCAATTATTGTTTTAAAGTTCTTATTTAAAAAATATATATTATATATTATTGCTATTCTTTTTGTTTTCTTTTTTCTTTTTTGCGTATATACTTTTTATTTATTTTTTTTATCCTCGCTATTCTAAAAATGTTTTTTACGTTTTATTTTTTTTTTTAAATATTCATATTTTTTAATATTTTATTAATTTATTTTTATATTGCCCCCCTTTTCAATTAATATAGTAATTTTTTTTCTTTCTTTTAAATACATATACTTTTTTAATTTTTTATAGCATTTTAAATTCATTTTTTCATATTTCTCTTATTATTTTAATGTTTTTTTTTAAATATTGCTCAAATATTCAATTTAATTAATTTATTTAATATTGCCCCCTTTTTCAATTAATATTGTTGTAAATTGCAGCTTTCTTCTTTTTTTATATACATTTATTTTTAAATTTTTTTATAGCCTCATTTTAAATATATATTTTTTTACATATTGCTTTAATCTTGCGTTGCTTTTTTCAAAAATATTGCTCTAATTTTTTAATAATTTTCTTGTTCCAATTAATATTGTTTTAAATGTTTTTCTTTCTTTTTTCATATATACCTTTATTTTTTTTATCGCATCATTTTAATTTTTTTTGCCGCATTTCTCTTATTATTTCAACCCTTTTTCTGGCTTGCTTGCTCATATTTTTCAATATATATTTCTTTAATATTGCCCCTTTTTTAATTAAAATTGTTTAATTTTTTGTCATATTTCTCTTATTATTTTAATCTTTTTCTTCTTTTTTCAAAAATATTACTCGTTTTAATATTTTATTTAATATATTTATTTAATATTGCCCCCTTTTTTTCAATTAGTATTGCTGTAAATTGCTGCTTTTTTGTTTTATTTTTTAAATACATATATTCTTTAATTTTTCATAGCATCATTCATATTTGTCTTATTTATTTTAATCTTTTGTTGCTTTTGTCAAAAATATTGCTCTAATTTTTTAATAATTATTTTCTTTTATTCATTTTTTGTTCCAATTAATATTGTTTTAAATTTCTGTTTTTTTTTTTTTCATTTATCGCATCATTTGAAATACATTTTTTTTTCGTATTTCTCTTATTATTTCAATCCTTTTTTTTGCTTGCTTGCTCATAATTTTTAATATATATTTTTTTTAAATTTCTCCTTTTTTCAATTAATATTGTTCAATTTTTTTTCATATTGCTCTTAATATTTTTTCAAAAATATTGCTCATATTTTATTTATTTATTATTGCCCCCTTTTTTAAATTAATATTGTAAATTGCTCCTTTTTTCATCTTTTGTTTTATTTTTAATTTTTCATAGCATCATATAGCATTATTTTAAATTTTTTATATATATATATTTTTTAAGTCTATTTCCCAAAAAATATTGCTTATATTTTTAACATTTCTTTTAATATTTTTAATATGCCCTCTTTTTTGTAAAAATTAATAGTTTTAAATATCTTATATTTTTTTTTTCATTTTGCATATTTTTCCCCTCATGAAAAATGTCTAGCGTTATTTTAAGTTTGCATTTATGTGTTTTGTAATTAATGCTGTGTTTATGTTAATGTAAACCATTTCTATAATTCCCCCCCACCCAGTGCTTAGTATTTGTATTTTGTTGTAATCAGAAAATAAGGTTATTTATCAGAAATTAATACTGCAATAAATTTTGGGTAATAAAAAACATGAAAATACTACATTAGTAAATTAAAAATGCCCCTATTAACTTAAAAAAAATTTTTTTTTACAACTGTTATTGTTTTTTCTATTGTGTTCTTTGTATTTGCAAGAAGATTATTTTTTAAAAGTTGGAATTAGTTTTACTAACAAAATTTTCAGACAACAATGAATTAGTGTTTCTATAGCAACCAAAAATTTTACTAAGTGGCAAAAGAGCTGGGCAAATTTGTAAACATAAACAAAACTTAACTTTTATTCTTTGTTCATGAAGATGTTTTAATTAACTAATCTGTAAGAAAAACTAACCTTTCAGGTCAATGGTATTACATGTTGTTTTTTATGGCAAAAATAGGTTGGATAATAAATGATAAATATGATTTAAACTAACATTTTATTTTGTGGTTACCAGAATAGATTAATCATAAAAAGAAAAAATGGAAAGGGGAAATAAAAATTTAAAAAATTCTTGGTTTAACATTGGTCAATTTTGCTGCTTTATAGTTTTAGAATTATTAATTAAAGTGGAAATGTATATGCAAAAAACTTACCTTTGCCCATCCTCTCCAATGATTTGTCCAAACAACTCGATGAGATTCTCAAAAGATTCCTTAACAAATGAAGAAAACAATGTATTTGGGCTTGAAACTATTTTTCTTTCCTGCTTACCCTTTATCAGGAAGTAGAATCGTTCTTCAGTTTTCATTTCAGTTTCAAAGCTGGTGTAGCACACTGACCTCCGTGAGACATTGGCTGGTTCTGAGGTTTTTGAGAAATTAGATTTTTAATGTCACCTTGGTTACAAGTATTTTGTTTCTATTCCCTTTTGTTTTGCTGTTAATATGTTTAAAAAAAAGACTATCGACTAAATCAAGAAATGACGATGATATAAAAACGCCCAGGGAGTATCAGTATCAATTACTAAAAAAAAAGAAAAAAAAACATTGTTTATTAAATTTTTTTTATGTATGTACATACATATATATATAAATATTTTTTCAAAAGTATATACATGTATAAAATATACAAAAATAAAAATTCAATTAACACTTTTTAAGATTAATTAGATAATTGATACATTTTACATATTTTTTCTTCCTTATTTTCAACGTGTTCGAGGTGTTTTTTGTTGCTTTAATGTTGTATTGTATTGTTATGAAATAGAATATTGCATTGAAATAAGATATTTAAGAAAATAGAATTGGTTAAAATGGTTAAGGTGGCAACAAAACTCTAGATTCACCTTTTGGATCTAACCGAAATTGTTCACAATTGAACCAATTCTTGAAAACATTAGGATAATTATTGAAAAATACTGTTTTTTTTTTTTAAGACACCCACAGGCCAAAAGTGATCAAAACGGCCTAACTACAGATACATCACCCTGCAGACCCCTAGAAAATTTTTTACAACTTATTAAAAATATTAAAAAAAAAAAACATTTTTCACTGGCAGTTTGCTGTTTTACTAATCAGGATTTTTTAAAATGTATTTGTGTGCACACTCATCTACATAGTTGTACTCAACTGTATACATTCTTTTGTTTTAATTGGAAAGTTGACATAATTTTATTCATTAAACAATGTAAAATGTTTAGGAGAAATTGAGATTCCAGCCGGTGAGAATGTTTATCCATTTAACACCACGTTACCGCCTCAGTTGCCCACTTCGTTTGATGGGGAACGGGGCCATGTTAGGTACACCGTCGTAGCAACTATCGACCGTCCATGGAAGTCTGATTTTGAGGCCAAATCGCATTTTACTGTTATTACCCCAGTCGACCTGAACTACATTGCCATCGCCAAGGTGATTTCCTTATAAATAAACCCGTCTGCATATTTGTGACACGCTTTATCAATTTTCAGGAACAAGTCAAGCAGGAAATCAGTAAGTATTTTTGCTGCTGCTGCTGTAAGTCGGGCCCTTTGACGCTCGTCGTCTGCCTCCCGCATAAAGGCTATGTACCCGGGCAGACCGTCCCGGTCACAGTTGAGGTCGACAACGCTAGCAACGTACAAGTCGATAAAATGGAATGTAAAATTTTCAAGGTAAAAATATGCCCTTGTTTTTGTGAAATGTTTTTATTAATTAATTATTAATTTTCAGACTATCAAATGGACAGCCCGTATTCCTAGACAAGATACAAAACTTGATGTTGTAGATCTTATAAAATTACAAGTTGAAGGAGTTGCTGGTGGTGGCTCAAAGACAACGACGCACAATCTTGCATTACCCGAAATGCCGTATGTCAATGTTGATGCTTGCTCTATCATCGATATTACATTTGCTTTAAAAGTAAGCCCTAATTTTGATTAGAATCATGGTTTTTATTTATAATTTTTTATTAAGAAAAATAATATTTATTTTAATCTGTAGCTTGAATATGATCTGAGTTTGCCTTTTCTTTCCTTTTTTTATTGTTTTGCTGCATATATTATTGTTTGTATTACATAATAAAATAACATTGACATTTCTTTTAGGGTGTTAAAGTTTAACCAATTATTTAAAAAATTGTCTGCAGGTTAAAGCTGTAGTAGGTGGGTGCCATAAAAATCTTGAACTCGAAGTTCCACTTGTGCTCGGCACTGTTCCTATTTACGAGGGCGGCCCCCCGCCCACAATGGGAGCCACGCTGCCACAAAACGTCGTTCCGCAGTCGAATATCGGACTTCCAAACCAGAATTTTGCCCCTGGGGGTGTACCTACGCCGTACCAAGGTGGAACCGCTCCTTACCCGGCTGGATATACTCCGGCTTACACCGGCCCAGCTCCGTTTCCGAATCCGGGATCAGAGCCGAATCCGTATGAAGGAAACAGGTCCATGTACCCTACTCTACCAGGCTTTGCCATACCCGTTACACCCGCTGATGCAGATGTGCAGCCGGAGGCATCCCCTTCAGCCCCGTTGCTCGATACGCCATCAGGACCTGTCGGTTTTAAACTAACTTAAGCGAGTATCTTCCAATCATTAATTATTATTGCATTTTGGTAATGTTTAATTGGAAAATAACATAATTAAATTAGGTCTTAACAGTATAAAAAAATTAAAATTTTATTTTCATAATTTGTTTGTGAATTTTTCTCAATCGTTGTCATGATTTATAATTGATCCTGTTAAAAGACAGTAATTGCTATTAAAAAAAGAAAGAAAAAACCCTTAAAGCTTAAGCAAAATGCACTTATTTTAATTTTCTATAAACGCTGTAACTTCAGCGCACCAAAATTATTGTCCAAAAGTGATGTCAGCCAAATATTATCATAGATACATAAAATTCAAACTTATTATGTAGAGAAGTACTCATTATTAATTCGTAATGAGCTGTAAAACTAAATCATCTCGATCAATTAACTGTTATAGTTTAATTTTAGTTTAGAAGACTTCAAAATTTTTTTTTTTGGTCTTTTCTTTTTAAGCTTCTTGTTTATTTATTTATTTTTTCCACAACATTTTCAATGCACACAAGTTTATTGTAAAAAAAAGCTCCATAATGACAACCAACAATGTCTTCACGATTTATCTATATATTTCTGCCTTTTTTAAAATATTTATGCCGGAACTAACAATAATGTTTTTTCCCCAACATTTTCAATGCACACAAGTCTATTGTAAAAAAAAGCTCAATAATGACAAACAACAATATCTTCATGATTTATCTGTATATTTTTGCCTTTTTTAAAATATTTATGACAGAACTAACAATGTGTGAAATTAGATTGTTTCTAATTTTTTTTTTTTTGTTCTGTAGTAAAATTGTATTTAGAGGAAAATTAACACAATTCAATTTGCATTTATACTTTCTATAAACAAAAACACTAATTAATTTATTAATATATTTATTTTTAATTAAATCAAGTTTCTTGAATATTATTTTAAGTAAGTACTACTACAAGATGCTAAAGATGTAGAATCACCGATTTTTTATATGCAGGGTTGTATTAAATGAGACTAGATGTATAAAAATGTACGAAAAAGAAAAAGACAAAAAATAGAACATTTTTGGATTAAAATTTTCCAGGAGCATTTTTTTTTTCTACGATTTCCATGTTTAAGCTTAAAAACAATTCTTAACTGGCCCAGATTTTATTTATTTTATTAACGTTGTTGGAAACCTGTACCTGTCTCCTTTCAGCCTATGTCACCAAAGTTTAGATTTTACGGAAAGTGGTAAAACTAAGTAGGAAATAGACAAAAATTTATTTTAGTTTATACGGTCCTAAACCCCTGTAAAGTTTCCTGTCGATCGGAGGATTTGTTTGTTATAATTTTTTTTGGCAACAAAATTTTATTCAGGGTTTTTCTTGGGCGTAGAAAACAAAATTCAACTTTGTTTTTTTACTAAAAAACAAATATTCTTTAAATGTTCAAAGCTTCAATGTTCAAAAATCAAAACTTTAACAACTTCACAAACTGCAATCAGTGTTGCCTGAAATTCGCATGGTGGGAGAAACAATTGCAACAAATTGCATGTGCAAATCCGAACTTTTAAAAAACAAAAGATAATTTTTTTCTCGGCTCCTAGGGCTCCATGAGAAAAAAGGTCAAGTATGTGTTTAATATTTTTTAACTTATCACGGGGGGGGGGCATTGAAATCGGTGATTCTGTATCCTTAGCCTCTCCTTGTAAGTGATAAATAGCCAAAGCAGCATCCTGTACGACTTTAAATGAATAAATAAGGAAACAACTTGTATTTTATTTGGATTGAATACTAATACAAAAAAAAGTATTTAAAAAAATTTAATTTTTGGTTCATTTGTGTTTTGTAAGTTTGTATTGTCTACTTGTGTTCATCATCAACTGAGGGTGAGCTCATTTAATATTTGGGCTGTTTTTTGTTTTTTCAATTTATTTTTAAACTTTAACAGAACAATAATTTAAGGATTATTCTAGTCAATTCTTAAATTATTGTCACCACAGGCCAAATAATTAATTAGCTTTTGTATGGCATAGTTATTTTTACTCTTTGTCATTAAAAAACAAGTTTTCTGTTGTTGGCTAATTTCAAAAATTAATTTTATTTCAAACAAATACCTTTGAATATTTTTAAACCTTTGAGTATTATTAAAAAATCAAACCAATTAGGATTAAGTCTCGAATTAATACGCTTAGTGACGATGGTAAAAACACCAATATGTGTTACTGCATCATCAGTTGCTTACCAATCAAAGAATTATTAATATATTGAAAATTAAAATATATTAGAGTTAAAATAAAAGATAATAGGTAATATATATTGTGCCTTTAACATTTCTTAAACAAATATTCAGACTAGCAGCGATATTTTTAATAATAATATTGAAATATTGGTTTTGCTTTGAGCTTGCAATGAGGAACTAAGGTGCTATAAACTTTATTATTTGATCCTTAATTGCAACATTTATGTTCATGTTATATATAAATAAATAATTTGTGTAAAACGAAACTGATTTTTTTTTTTTTTTTTTTTTTTTTTCAATTACAAAGCCATTTTGTGTCCAATCCAAGCCATTGAGGGTTAATAAAAAAGGAACAATTGCCAAATGGGTCAAGTTGAAGACAACCAAGAACATAGAACAGAAGCAAATCTCTTTATCTTATTCAGTGATAATTAGGCAAAGTAATATAATATGTAAGAAACTAATTTTATGTTTCATGTAGGGATAGGGATAAGAGAGGTGGCCACAAGGCCTACTGCACCTCGACCTAAATAGATCTATTTTGCTCCTTTGTTAATCATAACTCACTGGCCAGCTTCAGGCTATTAACCAGCCTTCACAGCTTTGCCAGCGGTTCCTTGGTGTAGGATCTTGCTTGTGGTTTTTCTTGTACTAGTTGCAAGAATCTGTACCTACATACACCTTCGCAGAAACATAAAATATGTTCTGCGGTCTCCTCCTCTTCCTGGCAGTGTCTACACAGTGTTTCTTCTGTCTGTACTCCTATCCGGTGCCTGTGCTTTCTCAAGTGGCAGTGCCCTTTTTGCTGGCATACGGTTCGATGCACAATGCGGACCCAGACATTCGGAATGGGCAAGGCACGTCTTGGCCACTCGGGGCCGCCCCAGCCTCTACACCAATGCTGCGGCAGTAACAACCGTCTGCGGAGGTGCGTCAGCTCTCATCTTGAGAATCAAAACATTCGATAAGGCCTGATCGGCTAGGTGCGGACGTTAAAGATCCTCATTGTCCTTTGAAGGACGACCGCGTATGCGGGAACATCATGCCCTTTTTGCTGAAGGGTACAGGCCAACCGGAGCCGGAAATAAAATGTGTTCTGCGGACTCCTCCTCTCCGGTGCATGTGCTTTTTTAAGTGGCAGTGCCTGTCAGGAGTCCAACCAGAATCCTGGTTCGGTTGCGTTTGCCTTCCAGTAATTCTTTTGTAAATTTTGCGGATGGTCCTTCTATGAATTTCCTCATACCTGCCGTATTGTTCCACCTGGTTTTGGACTCATTAAGGATCCATTTTAAGATGTATCCTCTTTTGTGGCAGGTTGCTAGGCTGCAGTAGGGTTCTGGGCCCATAGAGTCCATGTTGGCTCCCTTTTTGGTCAACATGTCAACCTCTTTGTTGCCTCTATGCCCCGAATGTCCTGGGACCCATGCCAGGGTCAAGTCATTAGTGGCGCTGACTTCCGTCAGGTCCTCCATGCAGTTCGAAACACTCTTTGCCTAAGTGCTGCCTGGCTGTCAGAGAAAATGGCTATCTTCCAGGAATGTATTCCTAGCCTTTTTATTTCTCTAGCACATGGTTCAATCACTATGACTTCAGACTGGAAAACTGTAGCCTACTTGACTAGGTTTACCAACAGTTCAGTCTTGTTCATCCCAAAGACCCCAGCTCCCTTACCCTTGTTGATTTCAGAGGTGTCAGTATACCAGTAGGAATTTGCCTTTAGTGGTATTCCCTTGGCCCATCCTTCCTGTTCTGGTATCAGTATTTTGTACTTCTTGGTGAAGTTGTACTTTGAGTAGTGGCATCAGTTGGCATACCTAAAATGGCATCTGCTTGTATCTCCTCCCTCATTGTTTATTCATGGCCTATCCTAGTAGATAGTTGTCCATGATCCTGTGGGCTGCTGCTCTGGCTTCTCCTTAGATTAAAATGTGAGTGGTGGGAGGTTTAACAAAATTCCAGGGCTGCAGTTGGCGTTGTGCTCATGGCACCAGTGTCACTGGGACACGCTTGTCTTTGGGTGCCACTCAGCAGCCTTATTGCTTTGGCTTTAGAATTTTGGTCCATCACACCACCGACCCAACTGTCAACAGGTGTATAGCCATAGGATCATATTGGGGTTTAGACCCCAGTTCTTGGCACTGAGCCTTCTACACCTCCCCCAGACAATTTCGCTCTTTGAGTAGTTTTAGTTAGGTGTGAGTTCCACGTGAGCCGCTGGTCTAGTGTAATCCCATTGGAAAATGGAATCATCAGAGATTTTTAATGTAATGTTATTTTTTTTCCTATGGCTATTGCTGGTGCCTCATGTCCTTTTGATCTTATGTTTTAACAGAAGAAGAGTTGGTTTGAAAGGAGGACTTACTGGTTTAATATACAAATGTTATACGTATACATATTTAACCCACCACTCAATTTATTCAGTTTAAAATTGAATGTATTATTTTTCTAAATTACAGGTAATTAGGAGCTACCGTAGTCAAAATTAATGTAAATAATGCTTTGTTTACTTCTATCACACCTCAGAAATTTGCCAGGATTCAATTCGCATGGAAACATGTGGGACATTGGAATATTGAAGCGAATTCTCTTTTCAGATGAGGTGAGCAGGCCTTAAATCTTCAGATGGGCGTTATTTTATATGGAGACGCTCAGGAGAAAGGAAGACCCCATGCTGTATGGTTCCTCAGGTCATTGACGTTCTGGGGCATTTCTTTGTACGCACCGAATTGGTTGTTTTTTTGGTTCTTTAACTTCACAGAGGTACAAGACAATTGAAGATCATGTAGTGCCATTTGCCCTCATCGGTGAGAGATTCTTGCTAATGTAGGATGATGCCAGGCCCCATAGAGAATATATGACTACCTGAATTAGGTTGGCATTGAGTGCTTGGTGAAGCCAGCTCAAAGTACAAATTTGAACCCAATTGAACACATTTGGGACCGTCTGATGTGATAAGTACGACTCTGAAACCTAGAACCCTAGAAGAATTGTTAATGTTTTTTTTTCCTTTAAATGTAAAATAAAACTTTATCCCAGCCAATGCCAGATAAAATAGTATATTTATGTAAATATATTTTAAAAAAATATACAGACCTTTTTCTTGCGATGTTTAAGGGTGAACAAAGAGAAAATGGTATAAAATGTAAATTTACAAGATTTATTTATAAAAATTTGTTTCTACAAATTTCCCTATCTGCAATCAATGAAATCACAAATTATGCGAGCGAAAAGAAGAAGAAGAAAAAATTGCTAAACAGTTTCAAAGTAGTTTTTCTATCAAACATTGTTCAATGTTTTGATGGTTTTTTTAAAAATTAAATTATAACAAAACAATTCATAAATATTAAAATCAACAATTATCCAACTGGACAATAGCCTAAAAGTAACAGGAAAAAAGAAAATGTGAAACTAAAAAAAAAAAAATTAGTTTGCCTAGAATTGAACGTAATTCTAATTAAAATAAATATTCTCATTGCTAATATATTATACCAATTTGATATGTACAGTTTGTGAATGTTCTCGTTTTCAATAAGAACATAAAGAAAACATCTGGTTGGATAATATGAATAATACTGTATATATATGTATATATATGAGTTTGGAATTGGATGTTAAGAATAGAAAGTGAGGACAGATTGTTGATTCCCCCTCACCAATAAAAATGGTGGCATGTCTTTTGTCAGGACCTCAAGCCAGGCCATGTATAATGACGCTGCGACGACGTTTTTCCTAGGCATGGGCAAAGTCCTTAAAAAAAAAAAAATAAAAATAAAAATAAAATAAAATTCGAAAAGAAAATTTTTCCAAATTATTTATAATTACTCACATCACAATTAGATTGGAATTCATGGAGTTTTCGTGAAGAAGTTCCCTTAACCTTAAGTGTCGGTTTGTTTTGTCTTTCATCGCAGAAAGTTCAGCATTGCCGACAAGAACTGTTCAAAATCAACATTAATGAAATAGACGTGAAAACGATAATTAAAACAAAAAAACATACCTCCATCTTCTGCATGTCCGTCGTCAACGACAAAATCTTTAATCAAACTATCGAAATAATTTGAAGTCTCCTCGAGCGGTTTCTTCGTAATATCCGGAATAACTTTTAAATCCGAATAGTCGATACGGAATTTAGACAAAAGACTTGCCATACTGAAAAAATATAATAAAATTGTATGTACGTATATGCAAGAAAAGGATCGTGAATGATGTATGTTCGTGGGAAAATCATATTTTATCCTCTGTATGTATAAAAAGACGCTTTCTTGGCTAAAAATTCTTATTTCAAAAAATCAATTCATTTTAAGCACCCTTTTTAAAGCCAGCCCTTAAATATGTCTTTTCATAGCAATAAAAAATTGAACAAACTTTTTTTAACTACTCTGGATTTTATCCGAAGCACACGGCGTTACAGCCGTTTGAAAGTAGAACCTCTCTTTTTTCAACCCATTACCAAAGTTTAGATTTTATATAATTAAAAATAAGTAGGAAATCGACAAAAATTCCACCAACATTTTAATTTATATCTCCTGTTCTAATTTATTCAGTTTATATGGTCCTAAAAAACCCTATCAATCGGTGGATTTGTTTCAAAGTTATATTAATCTGAACTATTGAAAACCAAAAATAAATTTGTTTCTTGGCTTCTAGGGCCTCATTGGAAAAAAGTCACATTTCTGCATTTTCCCATCTTCAGTGTGTCTGAAGTGTTTGATCACAATAAAATGATCAATTTTGCCTTCTTTTTTACTCCTCGGTGTGCTTTTTCTCTCACGTCAACCTGCAAAATGTATAGGTAGACTGGTGTATGGATATAGAGTAGGGTCAAAGGCTCAATTGATCTATCAGGCTGCAGTGGAAAAATGGTAACCCAGTCACCATGACCTCAGAAGGTACAAAAACAGGGATATGGTTGTGGGTTCAATCCTCAACATGAAATTTTCTAACCCCTTAAAAAAGATGATGGGGTTAGGCCTTGCCAAATCTCAGAAAATGTATAGAAAAAAAATTATATCCAACACTGATGATGGCGAGAAATTGAACCATTTCTGACAAGTTAACACCAGGATGGCAGACAAAATCGATCAGAACATGGGCAGAACCACTTAGATTCCCTGCTAGAATTGACCAAATTTTCCATTTATAACTTTTTCGTCATCTCAGAAAATGAGTCTACAAAGTTGATATCCAACACTGAGGATGGCGAGAAGCTGAAACACTTCTGACAGGTCAAAATAGCAAGGTTAGTCAGATCAAAGATTCCCTGATAGAACTGGTGAAATTTTCTTATTTCTAATTTTTCAATATCTCCGAAAATTAGTATAAAATGTTGATATCCCACACTGACGATGGTGAGAAGCTGAAACATTTCTGACAGGTCAAAACAGTAAGACCAAATTGACCAAAACCATAGGCACAGCTATTTGAATTCCATTGGCAAAATTTACTCATTTTTCTCATGAGTACCACTTAGATTCCCTGCCAGAATTGACCAAATTATCCATTTATAACATTTTCCTCATCTCAGAAAATGAGTATACAAAGTTGATAACCAACACTGATGATGGCGAGAAGCTGAAACATCTCTGACAGGTCAAAATAACAATCTGATCAAAGATTCCCTACAAGAACTGGCAAAATTTTCTTATTTCTAATTTTTCAATATCTCTGAAAATTAGTATAAAATGTTGATATCCCACACTGACGATGGTGAGAAGCTGTAACATTTCTGACAGGCCAAAACCATAGGCACAGCTATTTGAATTCCCTTGGCAAAATTTACTCATTTTTCTCATGAGTACCACTTAGATTCCCTGCCAGAATTGGCCAAATTTTCCATTTATAACATTTTCGTCATCTCAGAAAATGAGTATACAAAGTTGATAACCAACACTGATGATGGCGAGAAGCTGAAACATCTCTGACAGGTCAAAATAGCAATCTGATCATAGATTCCCTGCAAGAACTGCCGAAATTTTCTTATTTTTACTTTTTCAATATCTCAGAAAATTTGCAAAATGTTGATATCCCACACTGATGATGGTGAGAAGCTGAAACATTTCTGACAGGCCAAAACAGTAAGACCAAATTGACCAAAACCAAAGGCACAGCTATTTGAATTCCCTTGGCAAAATTTACTCATTTACTCATTTCTAACTTTTTTGGCATCTCCGAAAAAAATCAACACTGATGACGGCGAGAAGCTGAAATGCATGTCCTACCACTTAGTAAAGATAGGCAAACTAAACTGAACCAAATTTCAGGTTCAACACCACACAGAAAATGAGTAGAAATTTCACCATTTAGAATGTGTTAAAAATGTTACTATGTTACTACATAAAATAAAATTGCAATGTAAGGCAAGTCCTCAAACCGTAAAATGCTAACGTGCAAAAAAATGATGATGCTTAAAGACTTGGCCCTTTTATAACCCTAATTGCTTGATAATTTTTAATTCTTAATAAAAACAATTTTTTTTATTGTATTAAAAAATGTAAAATGTAAGAAAATTGTTTTCAAGAATAAATAATTTTATTAATAATTTACCTTCTCTGTTCATATAGAAGATCATCTTTTTTATTGGCCAGCGTAAAAACGCGTAATTTACATTCAGACCAATTCCTCCGTGTCGTTATTATGTAGGGGAGGAGCAGAGTAAGACCGCCGTCATCGTACAGCCACCACACGTCGATTATGCCCTTCTTCTGTTTTCTTTGAAATTGAGTCAGATTGTTCAAGACGTCTTTTGGAATGTCAACGCCTCCGGCATTCCTGCTTGATAAACGATTTAAAATTCAAATTCAAATTACCGAAACAGCGCCGTGTACAAATTAGTTTTACCTGTAGAGGTCAGCTCTTGAAAACCTGTTCACCTTTTCCGTTTTGGGTGTTGATTTAGCGACAGGAGTTTCGCTGTTCGGGCTCGGATTTTTGCTAACCCTATTGTGATTAATTACAGGTGTTGCCGGTGGTGATAAATCACTCACACTGCTAGCTGAAAAGTGAAAAGTTTAAATTAATTAAAAAAAAAAAAAAATTATATTTGGATGTTAGTATTTGCTCCACAAGTAAACTAAAAAATTCAAAAAAAAGCCTCACAAAATTAATAAATGTGGATTATTCTTTGTACCAACTCTCTTTTCGCCTCTAAAAATCATCTGGGGCAAAGGGAGAAAAAAGAGTTTTATAATACACCAACCAATATACTACACAAACCAATTTAGAAAAAACAAAACTATTCAGTGCTAATAAAGTCACAATTAAACAACATTAACTCTCATAAGTGCTCAGTTTTAAAATAAACTTACAACCCACATTTGAACATTTCAAAAATAATCTTACAGACCCTATTATTAGTACACCTACAATCAGAATTAATGTTAAATCCGAAAGACTTTACAAGCATCAGTAAAGCACTGTAGTGCATTATTACCGGTTGACATTTGTGAAAATGAAGTGTTCCTCGGCAGAGTCTCATGGGAATTGTGCCTTTGCGGCGTTAAGGCTGTCGGCCCGTTGTTGTCCACCGTAAGGACATCATTATCTTTCAAAACATTTGAATAATCCAAACCTTCTTGCAGCCTCAAAATTGCCACGGCCATGTAAACATCTAAAGCTTTACTAGAAAAAAAAAAAAAAATTAAACAGTTTTTCAATTTTTTTTTACAAATTGTGAAAAAACATACTGCATAACATTGAAGTACATAGCAAGATCGGCTTTATCACAGGTTTTCCAATCTGATTTATATCCCATCATGACAATGTTGGGCCTGAGTTTTCCAAGGCCTGACACTTGCATGAGCGAATGGGCCCCGTTTTCAAAATTAGTATCGTCTATGTGAGCGTAAAATGCTTTTATTTTATGACAGTGGAGCCAGTTTTGAGCTTTGTACGCAATGACATTTCTCACCCTTTGAGGCATTTGATTCTTGAATTGAAGGCAAAATTAATAAATATTCGTAACAAATGACAACGTAAAAATATAAAACTTCCTACTCACTTTTACAATATTACCACAAACGAGTAGAGAAATATTTTTAGTTATGAGAAAAGCGAAATCGATGAGAGGTGGCCTGGTATTAGGCAATCCAGACAGTACAAGAATCTGGGGACAGTAATTTTTAACGTGGTCCTCAACTCTGTTTAATTGCTGTACGGACATGAGGGCATTTTTGTAGGTTTGCGCCTGAGTACTTGAACCCCAGTTAACATCTAAAAAAAAAACACCATATCTCAATACAAAATAAATACAAAAAATATTAAAAAAAGTATCAGGCTGTAAAATCAGACTAGCATTTTGTGTTTTTAAGAAAACATTAGGCTCTCCAGTCAAAAGGCCTGGTGATCTTACATATTTTATGGGACTGTGATTATTTTTTAATTACCCCTTCCACACTTGGTGATAGGGCTCTGAAAAATCATGTACACATGCACATACATACATAATATATTGTGGTCTCATGGGAGGCACCATAGTTTTACGCTGACTGACTCGTCCATAAACATTCTATAAATATATTTATAAAAGTCATTTAGGTTAGCAGGTTTAAGGGTACTGGATATTCTGCTGAGTACCTGCCATCATTTTTGCTAATAAATACATTCACACTAACTAGAAACTTTCATATTATACAATGAAAAATTTGAGTCACAAAATGGTTTTACGAAGGTGTCTCGCCTGTAATCACTCTAAAAATATATTTATAAAACTAATCTAGGCTGATGGGTTTCAAGGTATTGGATATTCTGTAGATGACCTGCCATCATTCATGCTAATAAATACATTCACACTAATAAATATATTCACACTAACTAGGAACTTTCAAATTATATGTATAATGAAAAATTTGGGTCGCACCATGTTTTTATGAACGTGTATTGCCTGTAATCACTCTAAAAATGTATTTATAAACTAATCTATGCTGACGGATTTCATGGTACTGGATATTCTGTGGATGACCTGCCAACAGTCAGTCATGCCAACAGTCTAAACATTCACGCTAATAAATACATTCACACTAACTAGAAACTTTCATATTACACAATGAAAAATTTGAGTCACAAAATGGTTTTACGAAGGTGTCTCGCCTGTAATCACTCGAAAAATTTATTTATAAAACTAATCTAGGCTGATGGGTTTCATGGTATTGGATATTCTGCAAACGACCTGCCATCAGTCAGTCATGCCAAAAAATACATTCACGCTAATAGATACATTCGCACTAACTAGAAACTTTCATACTATATGTATAATGAAAAATTTGGCTAGTACCATGGTTTTACGAAGGTGTCTCGCTTGTAATCACTCTAAAAATTTATTTATAAAACTAATCTAGGCTGATGGCTTTCAGGTTATTGGATATTCTGTGAATGACCTGCCATCATTCATGTTAATAAATACGTTCACAACAACTAGCCTCTTATTATATGCATAATTTAAATTTTTTGAGGTTACTGAAGACCACAGAAATCATCCAGACCCCTGAATATGATGAATCTTCTTCAGTCAAAATCAGCAATGATAAGAAGATCGAACTATCAAGTTATAGGGTTGTTTATCCCTAAAAATGGAAAACCGTAGCACAGACTGCTAAACAGATTAAGATGTGATGACGTTTTAAGAAAAAAATATCCATAATTGGTTTACTCATTTTGATTTGGAAGATACAAAGCGCTCTGATCATTCAACCATTGATGATGACCAAATTTAACCTTTGGTCACACCTTGCTAACATCACAATACTTTGCAGAGATGCTTAAGAACGCATCTGCTGCATATGGGTTACTCAAATGCTGGCTGAGGAGACTTTTTCCTCCTGAAAAAGCAATGAAAAAGATCAATTTTTAAAAAGATTGATCACAAGGGAGTGGGCTGTTTACAATGTCTAGAGAGGCAAATTCTGGGTAGAATGCAGCAACCCATCGTTAACAACCCCAGAAGCTAGATTACGGACCAAGAAGGTTGTGCATTTGGTGGGATTTGAAGATTGTGCTTTATTATGATTTATGAGCTTCCTCCCGATCAAAGTGTCGATTCCATTCTGCACTTTTGGAGTGATTAAAGTGAGCAATTGACCAAAAATGACCAGTATTGGCTGATTGCTCATTTGAACTTTGGGATACACTATGCCCCTACCCCACGCAATTTTTCACTTATTCTGTAGTCTGCAAAACTGTTAATGTGAAAAACTTTGAGAACTTTAGAACAAATTGAGTTCTGGGAGGGCAGAATTCCAAAATTACACATCATGATGGCAACATATGTAGTGAAACAAAATGGTTTATATAATGAACGAAATGCTGTGGGCTTATTTTACGACCTGATACAAATTATGGAAATGCAGACTATAAATTTTACCCTTAAGAACTTAAAAACTTGAAATTTTTAATTTATTTTATACCTGGTTTTCTATATTGAACAATAAGGTACAATGCGAGGACTGATGCCAAAGTGATCAAAGCTGTCCACCAACTGATCATAAACATGACGGCAACACAAAGGACGGAGCCTAATAAACTGAGCCACATATTGTAATACTGAAAATAATAAATGGTTTTAATTAGAAAAATAAAAATAAAATAAAAAAATTAATACATACTTTAAAAGTTGGCCTCCACCCGACAGGCTTTGCTAAAGATGCGTGGAAAGTGCTGAAATTGATTAGAGCATAAGCAGCAAGGAAGAAGTTTGATATTAGAGGAGCTATCGCATTGAGTTCCCCTGAAAAATGTCCAAACGTGTACATTTAACAAAATATTTATAGAAAAAAAAACACGTACTTACCGACTAAAATGAAAGCGAGCGCGATAAAAAATGTAAGAATGTAACCCCGTACGGGCTCACCGCTCTTGCCGTATCCTTTTCCAAACGCACCGACATAAGGATAGAGCTTGTCTTTACAGAGGGCTTGGAAAACTTTGGGTGCGGATACCAAACTGGCCAACGCAGAAGAGAGGGTCGCAGCAAAGCAACCTGCGTATATTATTGGGCCGAAAGCTGATACAAGTTCCATTACCTTAAAAATAATAATAATATTATAGAAATGTTTAATTTGAATTTTTTTTTTAAAGAAAAATTACTTGAAAACTGTTTTGTAATCCGTATTTACAAACACGGTCAGTGCAGTTGGTGAAATTTCCAGTCACGTATTCTGCAGCTACACCTGAGGCGTCTCGCACTACGACCCAACCTGTCATTATAGCCATCAAAACGTATGAAATTGTCGTTATTATAATGGCCAATATCGTCCCTTTTGGGATGGACGTTTGTGGGTCCTGGAAAATTATGCATTGAAAAATAACCAAAAATTTTTTTTTATCGTGTTAATACTTACCCTTAAATCTCCTGAAATATTAGCACCAGCCAAAAACCCCGATGCAGCTGGGAAAAACACTGCAAACACGGAGAAGAAGTCGTGCTCGACTCCCTGGCTGACTCGATAGTCCGGTGCCATGTTTTCCCACAGAACCTCATCTAAAAAAATGTTTAAATTTAAGTTTATCAGGAAAATATGTACCTAGTGATAAAATTTAAAAATCAATTTCACACGGTAAGCTAAATTTTTTTTACAGCAAATATATACATTACGACTAACTGGTGAATCCGAGATATCCTTTCGATTTTGTAAGGTCGCTCTGAGGGCCCATTAAAGCTCCGACAAAGAAATCAACAATTGCTACCAAAAGTATAACAAGTAAACCTATTTGAGCCTAAAAATAAAATTTTAAAAATGTAAAACATATATCATATTGTATTAGAGAGCATAAAAGCATACCTTAGCCTCCCATTCCATGCCGATGATAACAATACCGAGAAGTACCACAATGGTAATTGAGCCTATAATTCTCATATCTTGAATATGGCCGTCCACTATTGAAAGGTTGAAAGTCTTTAAAAGATCTAGCAAGGATTCACCGAACCCTACGGTGTACATGGCACAGGCTACAGCATTCGCCAGTGAAAATATGAGACCGATTGACGCTCCAAACTCAGGACCGAGAGATCTCGATATCATGAAATACGTTCCACCTACAAAAAGCATTGTTTAAAAATGAACAACAGTAAAAAAAAAAAATTAAAAACATACCTCCTTTTATAAGTCCATTTGTGCTGATAGCAGACATTGAGAGTGCAGTTATGATTGTAACGAGGGAGCATGACAAAATAATCGCAACACCCTGTACTGAAATTTTATTTGATTAATATACCCCTATAAAATGAGTAAATAATTTTTTTTTTATATCTTACCTATGCCAGCTTGTCCGACTACCCAGGAGAGACGAAGGAACAGCATGACGCCCCATATGTTGAGCAGATTCCTGACGAGAACACCTTTGATCCAACCGAACTTGACGGCTCCTTCATCACTAGCCTGTTGAGGTCTTCCATCTTGTAAATTTCTGTCCCCATTGATTCTGACAACTGTCGCAGTCTGAAAAGAATAAATTCAAGTTAAAAGATTTTTTTTATATTTATGTTTTCTTGGTATTTGTGGCATGATTGAACTTTTAAAAGATAAATTTGTTAGATATGCATCCCAGGTTCAATACCAGCTAAGCCTAAAAAATTTTCTGACCCTCCTAATCTTATATTTATTTATTAATTTAGAATAACACAAGAATAAGACAAATTTAGATAAAAAAACAACTCTTTGAATTGAGCATGTATTTGATTTTTTCTAACACAACAGTCACATAAAAACAGTGCGCACACACGAGTGCCACATGGAATATTCAGAAATGGAAGGAGTCAGAGAATTGCCTAGACCTGTTTATAACCCTGGCATATGGATAGGGATAGGGATAAAAGAAGTGGCCACAAGGCTTCTGCACCTCGACCTGTGCAGATCTTATTGCATTCCTCTAATTTTATAAAAGCCTTGCCAGTGACTGTGTAAGACCTTTCTTGCGAGTTTTCCTCTCCTAGTTGCAAGAATCTCCACCTGCCAAGACCCTCACATATATAAAAAAGGAGCGGTCTGCTCTTCCTGGCAATATTTGCACAGTGTCAGTATTCCTTTCCAGTGCATGTGCCTTCTTAAGTGGCAGTGCCATCGGGAGTCCAACCAGAATCCTGTTGCAGTTCCCTACAGTAATTCCTTTGTACGTCTTGCAGATAGCCTTCTATAAATCTCTCATCCCTCTCTTACATTCCTCATGCCCAAGGTTTTTGATTCATCAAGGATCCATTTTTGAATGTATCCTTTCTTTTGGGGTAAGGTTACTAGGCTACAATAGGGTTCAAGACCTAGAGAGTTCATATTTTTTTTGTCCAACATATCCGTCATTTCTTTGCCTCTATGTTGCAAATTGTTGTCATTGATGGGACTGATTTTTCTGCCAGGGATTCCATACTTTTTGCCCCTTTTTGCCTTTACCTGGCAAAAGTGCCACCTGACTGTTGGAAAAAAAATGTCTATCTTACTGGAATGTGTTTCAGTTAATTGAATATTTTGAGGAGTCGAATTCACATAAGTTTGAAACATTTAGAACCTTTTAGACATGGGTTTATTATTTTAATGCTTGAAGGTACAACAGAAAAATATATTAGCGCATATTTTCAAGCTGAAATTCTTGCAAAATACTGAAGAATTACAACTGTTCTATGATGCCATCTGCATATTCGTTTATTTTACTACGTCGAGTACGTACAAAACCGGTGTGTTTTATGTACTTTTGTATTGTATCATCTCTCCTTGAGTAAAAAGTCATTATCAAGGTCAGAAAAGGGGGCATTGAACAGGCCTTGATAACAAAACCTTTGGAAAGATAGTGTTTAGTTTCACAAAAAAAAAAAAAAAATCTACGATAAAATTCAACCTTTATATATTTATTTTTTTAAAGGTTCTTAAAATATATATGATTATGTAGTTTTACGTTTATCGGATCTTGAAGGCTTTAAAAAAATTCCTATTAGCCTTCAATCTTGATTTTATAAGTCAAATATATTTTTACTTAACCATTACAAAAATAAAAAAAATAAACCTACAGTATCACAGACTACTAGATTTTATAAAAGAGTACTTTCACTTGTTTCTAACATTTCTTACCTAGGACCTCAGCAATGGGATGTTGTAGTGAACGACTTTATAAGCAAATTAAATGAAAGTGGAATCTATACGCAAGGCTACGCAGATGACATTGTTATACTAGTCAGGGGAAAATTCGCCTCAACATTGAAACCCAAAAAGAACTTAACATGGTGGATTATCACAACAGGGACTTAAAGCAAACTCCTCAAAAACTACACTAATTGCATTTTCCATGAAAAGAAACATAGAAATTCATGGCATATGCTTCTATAATGAAATGTGCGAATACAAGGGATAATATTTGATAAGAAATTAACCTAGAACCCTCATTTGCAGCACAATATAAAAAAAAAGTAAAATATCACTAATGACCATGAGAAGAAGGCAAATCTTGTGGACTAAAACAATGTCACATTGACTATATATGGAAGTAATAAGATCTATGGCTCTCTATCTGTTGGATCAAAGTTCAGCAAAAAGAAGCTACCTAAGCATTAGGCAGCAAGCAGACTTTCAAACCTATGTGACACAGTGTCAATGAAAACAACCCCGTCAATTGCACTAGAAACACTGCTAGACCTCCAATGGAAATATTTATAAAAGGAGAAGCTAGGAAAAGCTCATTTAGACTCCAAATCAAATTGGACGAGAATTAAACAATTCGGGCACACAGCCATAATTAATAAAATCAGATTCTTAGAAATGGGGACTGACTACATGATCCAGAACAACAAACTTTACAACATCATGTAAAGTCTCAACAGACTATAAAGGAGAGGAAGAACTCAGAAGAGAATCAAATACAATGACTTGGTATACTTGCTCCAAAACAAATGAAGGAACCAGATCGAGTGTTTTCTGTACAAGCCGAAAATATGAGCAATCAAACTCATTAGGGAAGTACACTTCGTCTTTCAAGCAGAAATACATGCCATCAATGCCTAGAAAATCTTAAAAGTGGTTACACTGGCAAAACATTCTCATACGATTGGATAGCCAAGCAGCTATTAAAGCAATAGCGTGTAAAAAAAATTACATCAAATTTAGTCAGCGAATACATCCAAAATTATTAAGACCTGGGGAAACACGTGATGTTATCTGCCAGGACACAAAAGACTTTTGGGTAATGAAAAAGCAGACATACTGGCAAGAGGAGGATCTGCAAGACCATACAAACCTATACTAGAATGGATCCAAATAAAAAAAGGAGCGGTGCTAGACATAGTAAACTTATGATGAAACAACCCTCACCAAGATTGGCAAAATTTTTAGGGATGGTTAGGGGAATTTACAAATCACTGCTGCAATTGGAGAGGGCCAAACTCAGAGGAGTGGACTACTAACCGGTCACTGGCATCTGAGAAAACATCTGCACAACTTGGGTGATGATGTTAACAACGATGATCCCACCTGCAGATTATGTAATGAGGAGGAGGAAACAGCCACCCATCTTCGATTGCGAAGCAACAGCTAAGAAAACAAAAGAAGTGGATAATCTCTAGCGGCGCAACCCTCACCAAGACTGGCAAACTCACTGCTGCAATTGGAGAGGGCTAGACTCAGAGGATAGGACTACAACCGGTCACTGGCATCTGAAAAAACATCTACACAACTTGGGTGATGATGTTAACAACGATTATCCCATCTGCAGATTATGTAATGAGGAGGAGGAAACAGCCACTCATCTTCAATTGCGAAGCAAAGCTAAGAAAACAAAAGGAGAAGTGGATAAACTCTATGGGCACTAGGCACAGTAAACTTATGTTAAAACATAAGTGCCAATCGCCAAGACTGGTAAACTCACTGCTGCAATTGGAGAGGGCTAGACTATTAACTAACCGGTCACTGGCATCTGAGAAAACATCTACACAACTTGGGTGATGATGTTAACAACGATGATCCCACCTGCAGATTATGTAACGAGGAGGAGGAAACAGCCATTCATCTTCAATTGTGAAGCAAAGCTAAGAAAACAAAAGGAGAAGTGGATAAACTCTAGGGGCACTAGGCACAGTAAACTTATGTTAAAATATAAGTGCCAGTCACCAAGACTGGCAAACTCACTGCTGCAATTGGAGAGGGACTGGTCACTGGCATCTGAGAAAACATCTACATAACATGGACATATATAGCGATGATCCTATTTGCAGATTGTGTAATGAAGAGGAAGAAACAGTCACCCATCTTCGAATGCGATGCAACACCTCAATGAAGACATAACCTAGCATACAGAAAAAACCTATGGAATGACATTGTAGCAGAATCAGCCAATGACCTGATACTTCTAAGAAGAAGGATTGAGTCGCCTGCACTGATCTAGGAAGATACAATATGCCAGAAGCAGTGCCTGGGGAGCACAAATCCCGCTTCCTAGTATCCTCATCAACAACTCCATCATCACACTGGCTGATTCTTTGATGAACGTCGTCTGCATAGGTGACCAAACTGGAGGATTCTTGTATGTTTTTGTGCTAAATTTAGATAATTAGGGTAAAAATAATCACGAGTCGACAATTCTAGTCAACATGGGGAACACATTTTTGGACCCAAATTACATCATAATAAATCATAATCAAATTTCAATGGTACACCTAATTAAAAAGTGTGACGGTATAACAAGTGATGAGAATTTGGTTCGAAATCTTTTCTTTACTAGCTGATTTCTCGAAGAATGTCGAAATTGTAAATTTGTATTAAAATTGAGGATTGAAATGAATTTTTGGTCAAACCAAGGATGTCCAGTGAGAGTTTGGTTCAAAGAGATCACGATGGTTCATCCTTGGTTGATTTAAATTGCGTGTGCTTTGTACAAAACGAGCTGTTTATGTTTTTTATATTGTAAGAATTTTGTTAATTTTTACTTCCCGCGCTGATTTTTCGAGGCACGTCTAAAATTACATCAAAATGAAATTTTTACGTGACACAACTTTAAAAATTTGCGGATCCTTGTATGGACTTTTGTCAAATCTAGGGATCTCAAGAATTCGGCTGGAAGCTTTTTTTAAATTTTTTTATTCGACAGACAAGGAATTCTTCGTGTCCATTCCGCCGGAAAAGAGATGCACGGACGAGATCGGACCGAAAAGGCAGCTCCTTTTTACCAGGGGGTACGTGCGACCAGAACCCCCCCCCCCCCGGAGATCCCGTTTTGTCAGATATAGCCATGTGTAATTACATACGGGACAATGATGTGATAATTGGCAATTAACCTTCCGGGAACCCCGTCCTGGAATGCCGTGGGTCAACAGGAATGACCCATCCAATATACGCCCTTACGACTACAACTCATCCGATCCTGAAAGTCTTAGCCTTTACGATTCACATATGACCGAACATCACTTAGGACAATCACAAATATCAAATTCTCTCATTTGTCACGATTCTACTCTCTATTTCTCAGT